CGAGTAGCCCCCCACGCCATCAACGGCACCCCTTCCAGGTGCCTCCCCGGCGCTCCTGCGCTCGCAAGCGACGAGCCTCCTCGCCAACACCCGGCGCCCGGCGTTAGGCCAACCGAGTGCCCGGCGGCAATGCCGGCACCATCGCTCGGCACCTAGCACCGAGCGCCCGAGCCCGGCGCCTAGCATCGAGCGCCAACGGCCGGCGCCCGGCGTGTGCCAACACCAATGCCGAGCTAGCCGGTGTCGGCGCCGAGCCAACCGAGTGCCTCGCTCAGCGTGCGCCCGCCTCGCCGGCTCATGCGCCCGCCTGCGCCAACACGCGTCCGCCCTCGCCGAGCCTCGACACGCCTCGCTCCGGCGCGCCGGTGCCTTCACCGAGCAGCTCGTCGCTCCATCCACCTTTCCTCCCCGGTTAATTAAATATCGATCTCCATCGGGATTAAAAAGGTCGGATCCGACTTCGAGATCACCAAACGAATCGACCTAGCTCATTTTTCTTAACGGTAATCTTTTTTTCACTTTCTTTTTACTTTATTTTATTTATTTATTTTTAACATGTATTAATTTGCTTTATGATTGATATGTGTCATGTAATTAATTGAATGAATGTGATGTTATTATTTTGATCTATTTACTCATCCGTAACTTGCTTGAATTATGATGATGTGTATTTTTTTCTTTTATTTTATTTTGGCGGCATGATGATGAATGAGGCATCGGTTTGAACATGTAGATATTTGTCGTTAGTCGAACGCATATTTCAAGAGTGCATCTTGTATGGTAATTTTGTTTTTTATATATAAAACACATGCCGAACCAAGTAAGTTTGAAATGTTATCATGTAATTCTGTTTTCATAAAAAATAATTGATTATTTACGCCAAAGCGATTAATTTCGTTGATTTTTATGTTTTCTCCGATTTTGATCCTATTGTCGAGTTCTCGTTAATTTTTGCCTATGTGTTCTCGTTTTGTTTGCCAATTTTAGCGTATTTTAGCCAAAGCCGTCACTTTTCATTTTTTGTTGTCGATTTTAATCAAATCTCGTGGCTTTTGTTTTTCGTTGTTGATTTTAGACAAAGCTTGTGGCTTTCGTTTTTTGTTGTCCATTTTAGCCAAAGTCTGTGGCTTTTATTTTTTATTATCGATTTTAGCCAAAGATGTGGCTTTTATTTTGCATTATCGATTTTAGCCAAAGTCGTGGCTTTTATTTTTCATTACCGATTTTAGCCAAAGCTCGTGGCTTTCGTTCTTCATTACCGATTTTAGCCTACTTTTGCCTAAAGCCATCGATTTTTGATTTCATCGACGACTTTCGCCTATTTTTGCCAAAGTTGTCGATTTTCATCTGTTTTTGCCCAAGTTATCAATTTTTGATCGTTTCGCCTAAATTGTCGATTTTTGCCTCTTTTTGTCTAGGTTGTTGATTTTCGCTTGTTTTTGCCTAAGTTGTTGATTTTTGTCCATTTTTGCCTATGTAGTCGATTTTAGCCTATTTTTACCCATGATTGCCTAAGTTTGCCTATTTCTGCCTATGATTGCCTAAGTTTGCCTATTTTTGCCTATGATTACCTATTTTGCCTATTTGTCGATTTTTGCCTAATTGCCTATTTACCTCTTTACCGATTTTGCCAATTTGCGTGTTTGTCGATTTTTGCCTATTTGCCAATTTGTCTATTTCTATCCGTGTTGCCTATCCTGTCATTTTGCCTGTCTTATTTGTTTGCCTATTTGCTCATTTTAAGTTTTGTTTTCCATGCATGTCGTTTGAGCCACACTAACGACATATCCCCGTTTTCATCATTTTTTAGCCATTTATTACGGAGTGAGGACAAGGTCTTCGACTACCAAGTCTCGAATCACTCGACAAAGGGGGCACTTTCATCGAAGTCAAATTAAAGTTGTATGCAATGCAGCTTGCCTTAGGCAAGATGGGATAGGGTGACTTTTGGTCTTCCCTACACATAATAAACCCCTTACCCGAAGCTCGAATAGACCAATCATAAGGTTTTCTAGTAATAGTAATACTAGGTGTCGACTTCAATCATTTGCCCTACATTTCACCTCATCGCCCGACGGCACCCCATGACAATAATGAATTTAGATGAATTGGATTCAAGGCACTATATATGATAATCTTTCACCCAATTGTCATAGCCAACAAACATGCATTTCTTTGCTCTAGGTTCAAGTTTACCATCTTTAACATGATAATAAGTAGGACATCCAAATACTTTTAAATTTGAATAATCACTAGGTTTACTCGACCATACCTCATTTGGAGTCTTACAATTAATGGTAGTGGAGGGAGAATAGTTGATAAGATAACAAGCTATGTTAACTGCTTTAGCCTAGAAATCCTTCTCCAAACCCAAATTAGAGAGCATACATCTAGCTCTCTCCATCAAAGTCCTGTTCATGCACTTTGCCACCCCATTTTGCTGAGGAGTGTGTCTAATTGTGCAATGCCGGACAATCTCGCAGTTTGTACAAAACTCATTAAAATTTATTCCAAGCCATTATTTGTTCAAAACGTTTAATCTTCTTTCTTATTTGATTCTCTACTAGAACTTTCCATTCTTTGAAGGTTTCAAAAACATCTCTTATTTTTTAGAAAATAAACCCAAACCTTCCTAGAGTAATCATCAATAAATGTCAAAAAAATAAAGTGTACCACCTTTGGATGGAACTTACACTAGTCCCCATAAATGCGAACGAATGTAATCAAGGATGCCCTTTGTAGAATGAGTGCCAATAGAGAACCGCACTCTAGTTTGCTTTCCTAAGACACAATGCTCATGGAAACCAAGTGATGTCATTTGATCACCACAAAGCAAACCACGTTCATTCAAAATAGTCATACCTCTCTCACTTATATGGCCTAGACGCATATGCCACAATTTAGTCCTTTCCTTTTCGGAACAAGAAGTAATCACCCCTATATAGCCTATTACTTGTACTACCTTGTAACATATAAAGATGATTAATTTGAGTTGCTTTCATCACAACCAAAGAACTCTTAGAACCCTTAAGAATTCCACTTTTACCGGAGTAGATATGACCTTTCGAATCCGGATACCTTAAAGAAATTAGATTCTTCTTCAAATCTAGTATATGTCTCACTTTTGTTAAAGTCCTCACGAGTCGAATCATGACACCTAATACAAATTGTAACAATACCATTCATCTCACAAGTTGAATTATTGTCCATCGAACGAGCCACTACTTACGGGTTCATAAGTAGTAAAGCACTCTTTATTTGGACACGGAGTTGGACACGTATGATAAGAGGCACCCGTATTCAAAATCCACTCTTGATCATAACGACCATCTAGAGGACATACAATAAGAACACTTTTAGCGAGCATCAATATTAGTAGCCTTCGTCGTATTAACGGACTCAAAACTTTGACCTTGTGGTTTCTCCTTCTTCTTCAAAGTAGGATAATCTAATTTATAATGTCCTTTCTTGTGATAGTGGTAGCACTCAATATTGTTTTTCTTATCCAAGAGTAATCTAGACTTATAACCCTCTCTATCCTTTTGTCTTTCTCTTACTAGCAAACCATCGACCTTACTATCAATGGCTTTACCATTCAACTTATGTCTCAGCTCAGTGAGAATTCAAAGAGGTCTTAATGTCCTCTAAATTTATGGACTCTCTATCATACAAAATTGAATTAACAAAATTCTCATACAAAGCGAGTAATGAATACAATACAATAAGAGCTTGATCTTCTTCATCAAGTTTAATATCAAAATTTTTCTTATCCATAACAATCTTATTGAATTCATCAAGGTGTTCATGAATAAACATACCTTATCGCATCTTTAGTGTATTAAAGATGTTGCATCCATAAAAATCTTGTTGTAAGAGATTTCTTCATGTAGAGAATTTCCAACTTCTTCCACAATCCTATCGTCGTCTCTTCATCTATGACTTCTCGCAATACCTTATCGAACAATGATAATGTCTAGGACTATGAGCCTTCTCATCCATCTTTTCAATTTCGATAGAAGTCATGTCATTTGGGTATATATCCTTAATTGTCTTGATAAAACCTTCATACCACAACAAAGTTTTCATCTTTATTCTCCATGGGCCAAAATTATTTTGACCATCAAAGGCGAAACATCAAATTTTAGAGTTATCATTATGAATAGAAAAACCCAAAAATGTGCAATCTACGCTTTGATCCCAATTTGTTATGATAAACGAGAAAAAACAAAATAAATAATGACAAGTAATAATCAAAAAATAAAGCTAAACAAATTATTAATACACAAGATTTACATGTTTCGACAGATTGCCTACTCCACGAGTGAGAGAGAAGTTTTATTAGCTTCATAGTAGGAGAATACAAGAACCACTAGAGGCTCAATATAAAGTCTATGTTTTTCACTCTATTTCCTAAACAGAGACATAAGGAGGTTTAAATACTTTATACCTATAAAGAAAAAAATCTAATGGGCTAAATATATTATTGGCCCATAAAATTTAAGCCACACAACAGTTCTATTGCTTGTTGGTGAAATTTCTTAATCTCCAATCCGATCATCGTCATGGTAACCTCAAGAGGTTATTAACATCAAACTCATATGGAAGGTATGGAACCATGGTTGAAGATATATATATATATATATATATATATATATATATATATGAGAGAGTAGTATATATATATAGAGAGAGAGAGAGAGAGAGAGAGAGAGAGAGAGAGAGAGCATGATATAGTAGTTTGTTGGGCCTCGGATATAGAGGGTGGCAGATAGGATTGGATTAGGTATGCCAACAAAAAAAAAAAAAAAGTACCAGACAAGTTCAAACTATTAGTACAGACGTGAAGGCAAAATGTTATAATATATCTCTGTGCGTGAAAACAATAATAAAAGATGTGTTACATATGTTATTGATCACAACACCACATCACTACTTACAAGAAGAAAACGAATGGTAAGAGAAGCTACTGCAATCTACAGACAACTTTTGGAAGTAGATAGCTACTCTTCTAGTTTATTGAGATCCTTAACTTTGCTAACTAACATCTCAAAATTATAATTACCTGCAAACATACTGAAGTAGAAGTAAATTGAGATGAATCTTTGGACAGCTTGGTTGACTGCAAGTGGAATGAACCACTGAATATAAAAGAAACTATGAATAATGAGGAACCCTACTACGATCAGACAAACAGTCACCAAGAATGGAAGACTTCCACGTGCTGCTATAAAAGCGGCAAAATAGAATGCCAAGCACATCAAATAAATAGAGGCACCAACCAATACTGATGCAAACCAAACTGCAGCAGGGGCTAATTTGATTTCATTCAGTTGTGCCCCATAGAGGATTAAAGCGGCGAATGTGGAAACATTTAAAGCAAGGATGTCGCTGTACATATATACGTTTAGCCAAATCTTGTATTTAGCACCATTGTCACCTAATTGAGGTAGTTGGATTGCACCCGCAAAGGTTACACCAGCAACAAGTACTGCTCCAACAAGAAGACTCCCTATCCTGCTCTTCATTTCCTCTTTTGATAGGGGCTTGCCGTGAATGGGTAAAAATTTATCTAATGGTTTTACAGGTTTAGTACACCAGTAAAAGATCGATAATGTCATCATCTACAGAACAAACGAGATTACAGTTACAACAGTAAAGTAGTAATCTATATTATAATCCATAATACTTTCCTCAAGAAAATATTAAAAAAAGAAAAAGAAAAAGAAAAAGAACGTACCAATTCATAATAATCTAGCTGTTTAGATTCCTTCGAGTCCACTGCTTGAGGTTGAGTCCTTTCATGGTTCACAGGCTTCGAATTAATTGACTTGTCCTGTATAAGAAACGGCAAAGAATAAACGAGGTCACAAGAGATAGAACCGTGTTGAATCCCATTGTAGACATCCAAATAAAAAATTAATTTTTTAATTTATTCGATTTTCAAAGGCACCAAACAATCAATTCTTTAGCTACACGTGGATTGGGTTTAAGAAAAACTTAGGTTGTGGGGCCAATAAAAATTAATTTTGTTTCTTCAAGAAAAAAAGAAACAAGGGATAACAAATCAAAACTTTTTTACTTGTCTGTAGAGATCAGTGGGCTTAGCTATTGTAGGTTGCCTGTCCTGTGCAAGGAACATACAGGAATCATAGTGGCAAGGAAGCCATAAGTAAATACAATTGGAATACTAACTAGTAGATGTATGTAGATTTTTCAGACTAAATATCAGACATACCTCTTCAGCTTTTTCAGATTGTCCCCAAGCAACATCATATGATGTCAGGTTTTCATTGTTTGCAATATCATCCTTAACCCGCCTGTCTTTTAGCAAAGCAAAAACCACCATAGAATGACCATTTTTGGTTGCCAAATGCAAAGGTGTATTTCCATCATATCAGCTTGGGATTTCTGAGTATGTACTGCACCACATTTTTTTTATCGTTTTCTGCAGCAACATGAAGAATGTTCCGTGCTTTTTTAGTCCGAAATTCTTTTGGACGGACCACTGATCTATCAATTCTTTAATCACTCTAGCATGGCCACTTTTGCTAGCAACATGGATGGGGTATAGACCTTCTTCGTCACTTTCAAATGCACTATTACGAAATTTCTCTAATAGGAATCGAACCCCCTCTGGATAACCTATGAGTGATGCCAAGTGAAGTGCGTTCCTTCCCTTTTCATCCTTCATGCATATTAGCTCTGGCCTTCTTTATGCTATTTGTCTTAGTATATCTGACATTCAGAAACACAGAGTAGGTTAAATGATATAAAGGAAAGGAAAATGCCTTGCATTGACCCCACAACTATTAGTACATCTTTCAATCAGATTTAAGCATTAGTTGATCCAAATGGAAACTATGCAGTACGTGCAACTGAAGTTTATAAGATTTATCATTTTTTCCAATGATGTGCAACAAGTTGCTCTGCCTATAGTTAGTTTTTCTCTAACCATGTATATAGAGTCAATCCCATAGCTTTGACAGTTTATCCTATATATTGCTAACCATTCTTTCATGCCACAAAAGGAAACCGTTCGACAAGAGGGAACCATTGAATAAAAACGGAAAAAATGGCTCTATTTGTACTAATCAGTATTCCCTTTTGATCTGTCAGTCATTCTTTCATTTGCACTCTTTCATGCCACAAAAGGAAACCATTCGATAAAAGGGAAGCATTGAACGAAAACCAGAAAAAATGGCCCAATTAGTACTAATCAATAATCCCTTTTGGTCTGTCAGTCAGTCTAATTGAACATATGGAGTAGAAGAACAAAAGAGATAAACAATACAACGAGTGAGGGTTGTAGTTTCCTAAATTTCTTTGCTCGACGGCACCATGTGCTGGGGACTTTCCAACTGGCCTGTTGAGTGAATCTCCTCCGGGTGTAGCTTCCAAAAGAAGAGCAAGAATCTTCTCATTCTTATTCTCAACTGCCAGATACAAGGGAGACTTCTCTACCTTATTGTTGTAAAACGACAAAACTAGGTGACATAGCAAAAACTCACAAGAAAAGGATAACTACCGTTGACCTGAAATTCAGATGCCGGTCTACTACAACCTGTTGAATTGCACACACAAATACTAGGAAATAGGGTTCAAACCCGCTGATTCAAAGAATGTTAGGAATTGACAAAACTAAGATACTCTCTCATAAAATCTATTAATCAAGCAAAAGTGGCATTTGTTTGCTTAAAAGTCTTACATAAATAGTAAAGACCCTAAAGAAATTTGAGAAGGAAACAAACACTAAAAATTCGAATGTAAATAGGAAAAAAAAACCCAAAAATCCTGCAAAACAATAAAATGCAATTTTGAGGGCCTAAACAATATTTTTTTTGCCAAAATCACCCCTACATCATGGCAAAGCCTATGAGTTTTGCTCATTAGGCCGTTTGGCATCAAATTAGGTCCAAAAACCCTCAAAATTCGGCCGACAATCTCAAATCACGTGACCACCCGCTATCGTGTCGCTCCATGAATTCCAAGGCCTTTTGGTCCACGAAACTAGGAAACATACCACTTCATAGTAACCATTAATCACAACATCATGTAAAACAGACTTCTTCTTTTTCATTCCCCATTCTCATCAAGCTAGCAACATCACTTGATGGCCCCGCATTATTGACCGAATTCTAATCATGTCCTCGCTCTCCAGCTACGGCGACAAGATGAAGTACGATATCACCCCGGAAGTTCTTCCTTGTGATTAGGAAAGGAAAGTGATGAGACAAAAGCTCGGTATTGTCTTGGCTACCAAAACTTGTTGCTTTGTTAAGCACTGAATTCCCGGATGGAGTTACGTGTTCAAAAATTGCAAACAAATTAAGTTGTTTGGTCGATGAAACTTGTTGAAAGGCATCAATGAAGCTATCAATATCATTGGCCTTCGCAAACTCATATAGCACTTTCTTCATAATTTTAATGGACCCATGATCTTCCTCGGGTTTTAGACTCGGCCATTGCCTTACCTTCAATATTTCTAGCCTCTATTCTCTGTGCTTGGAGACTTCTCCACCTATATTTAGTGTTAAATCCATAGTCCAAAAATGGATTTAACACTAAATAAGCTTGACATTTGGTACTATCTTGTGTTGGTGCAAATGTTAAAACAACGACAAAAGCTATTCTACTACTTATAGAATGAGACCCGTAGGCTACAAGTGAATGAAATCCAAAGTGAAGTGAGGTTTACTCGATTCACTCGCACCAATACCTTGTCTCAACTGGAGAGAAACCAGGCGAGAAAATGGAAGGACAAACTTCACCATGGCTAAAAGAGATGATATTAGCATATAAGAGAATAAAGAAAAAAAAGGGAAATTTCCAAAACTATGAAAAAACTAGCATATGTTCTCCTACTTACCTCTAGCATGAATTTAGAATCCATGCATAGTACCGTTTGCAATCAAGCACAAACAAGAGGTCTTGATTAAACTAAGTAAAGCCATCACTTTGATTTAAGCCTCAAACTGATCATTCTTAAATCAATAACAAACTTTTTCTACATTAAAAAAAAAATAAAAGCAGACAAGTCTTTAACAAGATTATCGTACAACATTGATGTGGTCCAAAAACCCTTAAAATTAGGCCGACGATCCCAACTCAAGTCACCATCCGCTATCATGCTCGCTCCATGAATTCCGAGTGGTTCAAGTAGTCAAGCGCTAGACGCATTACTTATTCCACAAGGAATTTGTATTGTATACTCGACCATGAGGTGTTCAAGCACCTACATAAACAGGATAAAGTTTCAATAAGGCATGCGAGATGGGTTGCTTATTTACAGCGAGTTCACCTTTGTGGTTAAATATAAGGCTATGGTCGCTAACGGGGTGGCGAATGCACTAAGTAACGGGAGTTGCTTATTGACACGCATGTAAGTTGAGGTACCTGGTTTAGATTCGTTTTGTGATTTGTTTGATACCGACCCATATTTCTCTACTCGTTATGGAGACGGTTCGGGCGGGGAGAAGACGGAATTCCTCTTGTATGATGGGTTCTTGTTCAAGAGAAACTAGCTTTGTATTCCCGATTGCGGTTGCATGTGTAGATTATTAAGGAGTTGCATGGGGAAGGTCATGTGGGATGAGACAGAACATTGGAATTGGTTCGAGGCTTATACTTTTGGCCTACAATAAGTTTGTTCAATGTTGTCGCATATGCCAAGTGTCTAAAGGTGCAGCTACTAATGCCGGGCTTTAGATGTTGTTGCTCGTGCCTTCTCGACCTTAGGTGGATGTCGGCATGGATTTTGTTTTGGGACTACCTCGAACATGGCAAAGTAATGATTCCATCTATGTGGTTGTTGATCATTTTTCTAAAATAGTTCATTTTATTCCTTGTAAAAAGATGACATATGCTATTAATGTTGCTCATCTTTATTTTCGAAAGGTGTATCACCCGTATAGTCTACCTACATCCATTATGTCTAACGGAGATACGAGGTTCCTCTCGTCATTTTTAGCGTAGTTTATGAAAGATGGTGAACACGTAACTAAATTTCAACAAGTGCTTATCATCCCCAAACAGACTGGGCAACCGAAGTTGTCAATCGATCTTTGGGAAACTTGCTACGATGTTTGGTTGGTAATCATTTCAAGAGTTGGGACCGAAATTATGCCAAGCCGAGTTTGCACATAACCATGTCGTGAACGAAGCGGGGGATTCAACCCTTTCTAGGTGGTGTATTCCGTCATGCTTGCGTGGGCCTTTAGATCCGATGGTGCTATCGAGCAAGACAAAGATTCATGGTAAGGTAGCTAATTTTGTGACAGGGCTACACAAGGTTCATAAAGCCGTGCATGATAATTTGACTCAATCCCATGTAAAGTATAAAGCAACGAGTGATACAAAACGTCGCCATGTTGAGTTCGAAGAAGGTAACTTCGTGTGGCATATCCTCACCAAGGATCGTTTTTCCGGATTATAACAAATTGGCAACAAAGAAGATTGGCCTTGTGGAGATAATTGAGAAGATCAATCCTAATGCATATCGCCTTCGACTGTCTAGTCATATTCGTACTTCGATGTGTTCAATGTCAAGCATTTGATACCCTTTCGTGGTGACTCTTCGATGATGATGATGATGTGGTCAATTCGAGGTCGAATTTTCTCTTTTTTGGTGGGAATGATGTGGACCAAAAGGCCTTAGAATTCATGGAGCGGCACGATAGCGAGATGGTGATTTAAGTTGGGATTATCGACCTAATTTTGAGAGTTTTTAGATCTAATTTGATGCCAAACGGGCCAACGAGCAAAACTCATTGGCTTTGCCTATAATGTAGGGGTATTTTTGAAAAAAAAAACATTATTTAAGCCCTTAAAATTACATTTTACTATTTTTATGAATTTTTCAAGATTTTTTCCTATTTAATTTCATATTTTTAGTGTTTGTTTCCTTTTCAAATTTCTTTAGGGTTTTTACTATTTATGTAAGACTTCTAGCCCGAAAAATGCCACTTTTGCTAGATTAATAAACTTTTGTGAGAGAGTATCTCAATTTTTTCAATTCTCGACATTCTTTGAATCAACGGTGTGAAGCCTATTTCTCGGTATTTATGGGAACAATTCAACGAGTTGTAATAGACTAGTATCCGAATTTTAGATTAATGGCATTTATCCTTTTCTTGTGATTTTTAGCTACATCTAACACCATCCATATAATGAAATAATTAAAATTTTATTAATTCAACATTCACTGTAAGAAATTAAGGATTGAGCGATGGATTTTTCCATCACTAAAACTATGTATTTCGTTGCTATTTTCTTTTAATGACAGAATGGCAACAAAAAGAATCCGTTGCTAAAACCCTTGTCGCTAGTAATTTTAGCGGCAAAAGCTTTAGTTCATCGCTAAATTAGTAATGGATAAGGTGTTGCTATAGTGAATTATGTTTGTCGTTAATGTGATGAATTTAGTGACGGATATGCTATTGCAATAATGACTTCTTTTTTTTTTTTTTTTACATCACTAACCCGCAAAGAGGTGACAACTATCATACGGACATATATAGTCGGAGTAAGAATCAAATAAGAAATTAGGTTATGAGAAAATTCTAGTAAATCAAGAGGATTAACCCAAACAAAAGAGTTAGTTTTAAGATAAAAAAAAAGTTAATAAACTGCGAATATTTTTTTGTAGGAAAAACCTAAAAAATAAGGCCTACACTACGAAAAGCAACAAGAACAGTTGTAAAGAAAAGCTATAAAAAACATATAAAGATAGTTGTAAACTTACTAGAAAGATAAAGTGTAAATACGTAATATATATATATATATATATATATATATATATATTGCAAAGCATAAAGTAAAGAACAAAAAATATAAATTGCTGAGAAGTTTGTATTAAAATTGTTATATTGAATGTAGAGAAATAATAACTTAAAGGTCAAATAAACTTGAAAGCTAAGGTAGACTAATTAAGAATACAAGTTTTGTTAGAATAGATATTGTTCCTATATAGCAAAAGACATTAAAAAGATAAAACCATGCTCGTAGCCGAATGCCTTCTTCCTTTAAGTTTAGTTCTATAGTAGTTTAAAGGATATAAGTAGACATAGCATAACGGTTGTGTACTTGATATTAGCTTTTTTAATTAATCAAGTTCGAGTCCTAATAATTTTAATTTAATTAGTTATTATGTAATGAAAGAGTAATACCTCATATTGTGCAATCCAAACCCATGAGTTTTTCGATGAATAATAATAAAATAAAAAAATTGTAGCTTTAGGTTTGGTCTTAGCAAATCAAATTACAGTTAAAAAAAAAAAAAAAAAAAAAAAAAAAAAAAGGCGAAATGGGTCAAATGAAAGTATAGGTGATAAAATAATTCAATTCTTCACATAATTTTTTGAGCATTAGTTAATTTAGGTTATTATTTTTTGTGAGTATCTAAGGTCTTTCCATTTACATGCTCTTTTCACTCTTCTATGAAATAAAATAACATAAAAAAGCTGGAAACTTAGATGTGATGCCATGACTTTCAATATTCAAATGAAATTCATGGTCATTAGCCTAACCTAACATGGTAAGACATTTCAACATGAATTTCACTAGTTCGATATTGCTAAAAAGTTTATGTGTTTCTTGTTAAAAAGGAAGATAAAGTAATATTAGTGTTCCTTTTCTTTTTAAAAGATTTCGAATTCGAAAATTTTTTTACATATAAAGAGAGAGAGAAATAGTCAGATAAGAAGGCCTACCACTCATTATTTGCCTAGCTTAAAAAATCGATGGACCTTTCAAAAAAAAAAAAACCCTCATCCAGCTTGCCCTTAAAAGCCCATCAGAAATCAACGAAACTTTAACAAAAATTACAAATAACTTTGGTTTTAAAAATTAAAAAAATAAAAATAAAAATTTACCCGTTCCTCTCATATATAACACTTCTCTCGGCTAACCTAACATTCTCCATCCTTTTTCAAAAAGTTTGATTTCTTTTGTATTTCCAAAAATATCCTATTAAATATGAAATTGCTTATATAATTTCTTTTTTTTTTTTTTTTGTCTTTGGATTGAAATTTTTTAATGTTACCAAAATCAAAATCATAAAAGGCAATTAAAACCTATACTAAATAAGATATTATACCATTTTTAAATGTTAGAGAATAATATAAATTATTTATTAAAATATCATCTAATAATTTAATTTTTTAAGTTGGAATAGTTCTTTAATATGTTATTAGATTATTTCTAATTAAAAGGTCAAAAATTCAAATCTCACATTAATAAATGTTAGAGAATAATATAAAGCATATCTTTGGGTCTTACCTAACGAGCTTAAGCTTTTGAGTGAGATAATCATTTGACATAGTATTAGAGCCTTGATGGCTAAATGGTCGCAAGTTCAAATCCTATCACCCTACTTTCTCTTCTAATTAATTAAGCATAAAGTAGTGTAGACCTATGTAAG